AGACTCCACAGGTGATGGCTGTAGCCACAAATTGCTCACTGAACATATTAAAAATAGGAGAATAGATTGGAAAGAGGCAAGTCATGGGAATACTGCCATGGTTTTTAATCCTCAGTGTCTTGAGTTCATTTTGTGTAAATTGTTAATTTCTCCTCTGCCTGCTTGTCCTGAATGGCTTGTGTCTATGGCCAACAGAAACTTACAGAGTTTCTCTCTTGCTTTTTTCTTAGCTGTATTTTATGCTTTCTTGTGTCTATGTTTGTTCAGGGGTTTCATGCCAATAAAATCTCAATCTTTCATTTCCCGTAAACGGAAATATTTCTGAGAAGTAATTTCTGAAGCACCCTCGTTTATCTCAATTAAATATAATAATCAAATTCCTGGTGTAAACATTTTGATCTTGTAATGTTGAACATGTTTTAATTGCTAAATCAAATCTTTGGCTTGTATTGTTTTCTGTCCCCGATTTTGCTGGGAAAGGGCAGAGAGCACTCACTGCACATGTACTGTGCTACTTGCATTGTAGATGCTTGTTGAGTAGTTTGTTGCTCTTACCCTTTTATCCCACTTCACATGCTTTTCAAAATGAGGCACAAACCCTGGCTGGCTAGGTCCTTGATATGCTGTGGCTTTCCTAAGAGCTCACAGGTCAGTAAACATTGTCTGATGGATGCCTGTCTGTATGTCTGTTCATGAAAACTGATTAATCTAATGGTCTGTGTTATCTTTTGTTCTGCCTGCTCTTACTGACAGAAAACTGAAAAGTCTCCAGGTTGCTTGGTGGGTTCCCAAACTTGCAGTGTGAACGCCGACTTCTTATGCCAGCGTTCATTTCTAATGCCATGTTGATTATGCTGGGCTAAAAATGCCATCTTTTCAGTCGTGGGTACCAGCTGACACTCAGTCTTCTCCACCTGTCCTGAAGGACCCTAGAGAGTGAGTTGAGCTGTAGGCTGTGCATGCCCTGATCCAGATCGTATCACCTGGTCTATGGACCACAGGATTTCACAGGTGGCAATGACTTGCTTGCATTTCAGCTGGTTGGGCCCATAATTGTTCTTTTATGAAGTTATCCGAGCTCTCAATATGTACTGATATGAACATGACTTTCATTTGGGTGAAATGTGTGGTTTGGACAGTCTTATGTAATCTGTCCAAAGAGATAAAAATTATTATGCTGAAATGAACTCATAGATCATTTATGTCAATGTTGAATAACCTAAACATAACTATGTTCCTTTAGGGGGGGACATTTTTGCTGTCTTTGCTATTGACTCTTTACATAGTTTAGGGTAAAATCATGGGTTTTCTAACAGTACCTGTATTGGCCTTACTGTTTCGTGCATGTCTCTGTGAATCTTGTGCTCAGTCAAGTGGCAGTTTGACAAGTGGTGCTGGGTAGTTCCCTTACATATGATAAGATGCCAAGGCAGAAATACAGTCAAAGGTTTTTGAGTCTGTAGCACCTTTTCCTATTCTAGGGATGCTGTGATGTGTGGCTGTTGATGTACTGTAGGCAAGCTAAAATCTGTTGAATATAAATAGTCAAGAGCTGGAATATCCAGATCTTTCTTGCCGTATGAACATGAATTGCAAACCTAGAAAATCAGCAAAGAGGAATTCAGTGGCATTGTTCACTTGCATGTCTAAGCATTTGAAGCTTTATGCACTTAAGTACAGGAAGTTTTGAAATCTGTAATTTAAGAACATCATGGTATTTAATATAGTTTAAACCAATTGCTATGTAAATGTAGCATTCTGAAAAAAATGAAGTGCAATTTGAAAGGTTGAGGAGACACGAAGCCATTGCTGCAAGGAAGCAGCGAGTAAAGGTTTCTTTCATACTCTACAGAAATTTGACTTGTCCAAAGTAAACCTTTGATTGATATGTTCATGCAGAAAACCTCCAGCACTAACAGTATCCGTGGCAGATGCAGAGATGTCTGTCCAGATCTATAGGAACCTGGAACAGGAGCTCTGGGGTAGGGATTGCCTGCTACACTTTAGTGAGGGCTGTTAGATACCAGGGGTGGTGGTGCTCTAGTATTGATATTGATGACTGTTCTGCTGGTTGCCTTAATGGATAAGAAAGGAGAGGAAATACCAAGTTCAATATACAGATCAATTCTCATGTCTCTCAAAGCTTCAGCAGTACAAAGGCCTAAATGCATATACAGAGAAGATTTAAAAACTTTAGGTAGGCAGACAAACTTTTTAAACTTTGGCAAACTTACTTACTTGATCTGTAGCAAGAATATATCTTTTGCTATTCCCAAATGTAGGGCATTTTAGAGGTTTTCTATACATAAATGAGGTGGCGCAGTTGAAGGTGTTTGGTTCAGGTGACGTTATTAACTTGTATGTGGTACACAACATTTTTTTTCTGAATGGAATGGCTCACAGGTTTGCAGTGTATGAAGATTTGACTATCTTACATTCATATGCTTTGTATATGAGAACATAAATTTGTTTTTATGAAGAACATCATTAGAAAGCAACCTGTAAACTAAGCCTGAGAAGCTGTTTGCATGATGCTTTTTTTTCTCTTTCAATGAATTCACATTTGCATTTTGATTAAATGACCAGCGTGCTGAAATCTCTGAGGATTTTTTTAAAAAAGTTTAGTGGCAAATATTTATCCTTTGATTCTGTTCCTCATAGGACTCCTTGATCAATGACCCAAATTTCCTATGGGAGGCTTCGTCTGTACGGATTCTCTGATGTTTAATAGAGGGGTCAGCTTGCACTCCAGTCTGTCCTCATTGATTGGAGAAGACACTTTCATGAGATTTGGAATACTTTTGTGTTTTATTAAAATGTTTGAAATTGCTCAAAAGCTTTTAGGGAATGTGCAAGGGTAAATGGCAGCAGAAACCTTTCCTGAAGGAGCTATGTTAAGGAAGAGAAGGTTTTATTTTAATAAAGTTTTTCTGGTAAGGTATGGCTGGAGCTCTGTAGTAGTTTACAATAACAAAAGTAAAGAAAAACTTGGTATCTCAAAGATTTAACACCGCTACCTGGAAGTGTGTGTCCCCTGTAGCTACAGATACAATTTCTCATGTCGTGTAATACAATTAACTGATCTTGCAGCATTCCTAAGAGTTCATTCCTGGCACACTCATATTCCTTGTTACACAATAGCTGACATTAGTCAAAGGCTAAAGCTGTGTTCATGAGGTTTGAGTGTGTGATTTGATCTCATGCTTTTAGAGTTCAAACTCACTACATTTGGTGAAGCGTTTAGACAATAAAGCAACCCCTGTTTCTCTTTCCCAGTAAGTAACAGATGCGGGTGAAAGATCCATCAAGAGCCAACCCCGAGAAACCAAAGAGAAGCAAAAGGCCTAACAGGCCGCAGGATGAAGACTCTTCAGATGATATTTCAGGTAAATACATTAGGTGATGTTTGGCCCTGAGGTTAGAGGGCTAACAACTTCCCTGTTGACTGCTGAAAATGACAAATCAGTGGTACCGTTAAATGCTTTTCTTGTTTGAATTTATAGCAGAAATATCCCCGGTTAGGTGTTTGTGACATGATCTCTTGTTACACCACATGACTGCCCGGAAGGGCTGGAGAGTTGTTTGATCTTCAATGGTAACCTCTTCAAAGGAGGGGAACAGTCCTTTCTCAGTCTGTAGAAGGTCAAGTTTGCGTGGCAGGAGGTTGCTTGGCTGAACAGGAAGCTTCCAACTGAGCTCAGAGGCAAAAGGAAGGACAGAGAGGGTGGAGGTGGGTTTGGGCCGCCCTTGTAGGGGCCCGGAGTGTGCAGGGCTGGTATTAGGTAAGCCAGCCTCAGTTGGAGTTGAATCTGATGAGGGGTGTGAAGAGTAAGATGGGCTCGTATGGATGCTGTGACAGTAAAATGAAGGCTAAGGCAAGTGCAAACCTGCTGCTTGAGGGGGCAGGGGACCTAGGGACATGGGACATGGGAAAAGGCTGAGGAGCTCAATCTTTTCTTTGCGTCTGTCTTCACATGTAAGCTCTGCACTCGGTCCTCCCTGGTCTCTAAGCCTAGTGGCAACTCTGGGATTTAAGCGTTGTCCAGAGTAGAAGACAATTGAGAGCTGCTAAGCAAACTGGACACGTGCAAGTCCATGGGATCAGATGGGATGCATCTGAAGGTGCTGAGAGAGCCGGGTGATGTCATTGTGAGGCTATGCTCTGTCATCTTCATGACAACAAATTGAGGAGAACAGCTGATATGCTGGAGGGTAGGTCTGTTCAGGGTGACCTAGTCTGGCTGGAGAAATGGGCTGGCAGAAACTTCACAGAGTTTGACAAAGGCAAGTGGAGAGTTTGGCACCTGGGCCAAAATAACCACACGCAATTACAGGGTGGGAATCAATGGCTTGAAAGCAGCTTTGCAGAAAAGGTCCTGGGGGTCCTAGTGCACACACAGAATAAAGCAAGAGGTGTGGCTTGTGCTTACTGTATGCTGGACTGTATTAACTTGAGTGCAGGTCAAGGTCTGCGCTTCTTCCCATCTTTTCAGCACTTGTGAAACTTGGTCTGGAGTACCCTGTCCAGCTGTGGGCTCCCTGTTACTTGTCAGAGTGAGTCCAGCAGTGGGTCACCCCCTCCACATGGTTAAGGAGATGGAGAACATGATGCGTGCAGAGGGGCTGAAGGGAATGGATTTCTTTAGCCAAAGGAGTGAAAGTACAGTTTCTTTCTTTGACTGCCTGATAGGTGGTTATAGTCTGAGAGCCAGGCTCTTCTAGGAGGTCTACAATGAGAGGACTAAAGGCAACAGACAAAAGTTAGAACAAGGAAAATTTGGCTAGGTGTGAGGAAATTTATTTTCACCATGACCATGATGAAACAGAAAGCTGATTTTCTAGTGAGGTGGTAAAACCTCTGTCCTTGAAGATCTAGTTGGAGGTGTCCCTGCTTACTGCAGGGGGGCTGGACTAGATGACCTCTAAAGGTCCCTTCCAACCCAAAACATTCTATGATTCTAAGATATTCAGCACTCAGCTGAACAAACGCCATCAACAACCAGCTCTAAATTTGTATTTGACCTCGCTTTGACTGAGGGTTTGGACAAGATGGCCTTCGGAGGTCCCTTCAAACCTAGGTTATTCTGTGATATTATAGTGGAATTTGTACAAAAAATGTGACGGAGAAGAACAGTGGTTGATACTAATGTTCAGAATGGCCAGTTGTATTAGGGATGCATAGGTATTTGGAAATCGTTTTTTGTGGATGGGAAAGAAGGTCAACTGCTTGTGTTGTTACATGGAAAAATAAATTTATGTATTACTTTCTATTGACACTCCCCCCCCCCCCCCCAAAAAAAAAAAAAAAAAAACAACCCAGGGAAATGAATTTTCTACAAAAGTAGTCCTTGTACTTTTGTACAAAATAGTTTATCTGTTTTTAAGAGGTGGTGTTTATTGACTTGAAAAGGATTTTTGTTATAGAAAGCCTGAAATAGATCCTTCATAAAATTCAGTATATGGGGAGCAGCTGGCTGATTTTTCCTATTTTAGTTCTTTGACTTTTTTTTTCCTAATGCTGAATTCGTTGAAGACTCTGCTCCTTCAGTATACAGATGCTCCCTTTCATAGCTATTATTTTTAATGGGTGAAAGTGAATATGTGTCATTTTTGCTAGGCTTAACCTGCCAACATGTGAGCCAAGCAGTGGATGTGCATCACGTGAAGAGAGCGGTAGCTCAGAGCGTTTGGTCAATATGTGCAGAATGTCTGAAGGAAAGGCGGATGAGCGATGGTGAGCCTGTGGCACCTTCGGACATATGGCTGTGTCTCAAATGTGGCTCTCAGGTAAGCATATGTTGGAAATTTATGGAGGTGGATAAGCCCTGATTTTCTAAAGGATATGACCGCTGTAGATCCTTGTGTCTTTGGCATCTCGCTACCTTCAGTGAAACAGTGAGACATAGGTGCTTACTTGTGAGAGTCTGTGCTTCAGCTTTTTCAGTGGAGTGGGATGTGGCCTTACGTTCTTCTTGTCCGTTTTTCGGCAGTGTTTTGGGTTAGCTTTATGTGTTACGGTGGTGTTGAGCATCACAAGTAGTAAGTGATGCTCCTGCCCTTTCTTTGCTCTTCCATCTGCATGCTCTTGCCACTCACAGAGAATTGGCTCCAGGAACTGTGTGGTTGCAAAATGCATCCATTCAGCTGGCTCATCTGGCAGAAGATCCCGCAAATACAGACGAATGTAAAAAATGGATGTGCATATTGCTGAATCAACTTACACCATGGACACTCAATTGCTAGATTTGATTGAAACCAGGGAGAAAGGACTGTGCAGGAGTGAGAATGCTGCTTTTTGTGGCAGCTAGCCATTAGATTGGAACAGTTATAATGTCAAATCGTGGCTTCAGAGTTTAAAATGGCAGGTCCTGACCCCAAGGGCTTGTGCAGGTTTCTGTCCTGCGAGTGAAATAAAGCCTGATACAGAAAAATTCAGTTTCCAGGCAGTGTCATGCTTGGTTCAGCTAATAGTTGCCTGAACAAAGCATTTAACAATTTTCTTAGACTTTCAGTAGGTCTTGCAATAGTAAGGACAGAAAGCCAGCTCCTACCAGTATTACCAGAAGAGATCTAATTTTGCAAAGAAACATGCTGTTAGCAGGCTTCAGAAGATGGTTAACTGGATCTGAGAAGGATTCATGTAACTCATCTCTGACAATTTGTAGTTAAGGTGGGCTTTTAAAAGGTGTTAAATCTGTGTGCTTTTTCATGTTTACGCTATTAATAGCCTCCAAAACTCATGCCTCATTCAGAGACCAGTCCTGAATCTTTTAAGTCCCGCTCTGTAGATACTTGAAAAATTGCAAATGCGTCTCTTGAAGTTGCTGTACATAAATGGTGTGTTCTGAGTAGCTTTTTACTACAAAAACAATTTATGTGCCTTTTGTACTTGCTGTCTGGAATGCATTTGGCATTCTTGAGCAGTGAGGGTTACCTATGCTGTCCTTTCCTTGATATTCTGTGGACTAAATATGCTACATAGTCATTTAATTAACTTTTTTTTGAGAATTCTTACTTTTGTGAATGGCATAATTTGCTGTCTATTGAAACTTATTCAATACTTACTCAAAAGCTAGGAATTATTTCTATTAAGGTAAAACAAACAATAATTTTCTATACTTTTAACTGATTTTTCCAAGTAGAAAAGATGAGATTTTGGTTTTGTTCAATACTTACTCAAAAGCTAGGAATTATTTCTTTTAAGTTAAAACAAACAATAATTTTCTATACTTTTTACTTGGAAAAATCAGTTGAAAAGATGAGGTTTTGGTTTTATGTTGTCATTGATTTTCCTTTATTAGTAAAAAGAAAATGTGTTCATTTAAAAAAAAAGTTAATGGATCTTTATAATACTGGATTATAAAGAATATTAAACCATCTCAATCCTTGAGAATGCTAAATGAGTATTTAGGGCACTATAACTTTCCATCTAATTTTGAAAAGTAAAGTTTTTGTAGTTTATTTACTAATAATACAGTCTTCCCCTACTTCCCTTTTTTCCCTTTACTGCATTGATGTTTCTGATTTTAGGGATGTAGTAAGAACTCAGAAGGCCAGCATTCTCTGAAACACTTCCAAACAGCACGTGCAGAACCTCATTGCATTGTTATCAGCCTCAGCACATGGATCATATGGTAAGAATCAGTATGCAGGTGTTCGTGTGTGTGTGTAAGGACTACTCGTAACTTAAAGCAGCATCTTCTCATGATAAAGAATGATTCTGACAGATAAAATGAATACTTTATACAGAGGAAAGGCAGGCTTTCTGGAGAGAAAATTAGCTTGTCCTTAGGACTCTCAGAGCGGTCACAAATCAATCCTAAGATAGAAGTTTGAGTCCATTGTGTTTTGTAGAGAGTTGGCTGGTTATAGGAGTTTGTCCTTTCTATATGATTATTTGCAGGACTATAAATTGAGATTATTTACATCTGTAAGTATCACAGTGAATTGGGACTGATCTATAGAACATATGTGAGATGAGAGAATTCAATTTTATTCCTCTTTTTAGTATGAAAAATTGTAACCTAGAGCTTAAGTAATTTGTGTAAGGTTGCTAGAGAGGTTTGTTAGAGCTGGGATGTGCATACAGATATCCTGAATTCCAGCTCATTTCTTCTTCTGTTTAGGTGTTATGAATGTGATGAAGAGCTGTCAACACATTGCAACAAAAAGGTTTTGGCTCAGATAGTTGACTTTCTTCAGAAACATGGTTCCAGGGCTGAACCAAGTAAGTTTACACAAATAGTATTATCTGGAGACATCTGTAATGTACTGTGTCTAAAAATGAGCATTTCAGATTTTAAGTCATGTTAAACATACAACTGAAAAATTATGTATGATGTGAGTATAATATAGTTTGTAATTGCAAAATTACTTGGGCAAGTGCCTGTTGAAACATAATTTATTGTTTTTTTTCTACAGTATGATTACATTTTAAAAAAATTTTGGGTACCATAGGACAGTTTTTCTGAATTTTGTCTTTAATGAAGAAAGTTTATTGTAGAGAAGATGTTACCTTAAATAAGATGCTATCTAAATTAATGAACAAAAACCATCTAGAAGCATAGATGAACTGAATTTTCCTACTGTGGATGTGTCACATCTTAAATTTTTTCTGATCTGAATTTGTTTTCCACATTTAATTAAATTTATTTAAGTGGATTTTCTAGTACTCTGTTGTTGGACATAATGCTTTCGGTTCATTTATGTTATTGGGTTTTAATTGATAGAATGTCTTTTAATAGAAAACAGTATTATTTTCTTATGTTAGGAGCCTACTATATCTTCTCAATATATGTAATAGTAGATAAAACTTTGTACGTGTGGCCCTTAACTGTCTGCTCTTGAAAATGTTGATGTTATTCATCCCTACTGTAACACACTCGAGAGCATTTCTGGCTTGTGACTTACCGAGTGCATTGGATTCCAGATATTCTTCATAAACAACAGCTTAAGTAAACTTCTAAAACTATTGGTTGCAGTTTTTAGCAGAGGTAATCAGCTGGTTAGAAGTAAGAATGGAAAGGAATTGCCCTAGGTATTCCTCCAGATGCATGTGCATAAATCCTACTGGTTTTAAAAGGTGTTACATATTTTTTCAGGGGAAAAAAATGAAGGGCCACTCAGAAATACATATTTTATGTTTTGATCTTGTCATGAGTTGTATGTTAAATTACATAATTGTAATAAATTGATAAATTGCTACTTTCTTCATCTTTTCGCTTGGAGCAATGAAAATACAGTATGTGATTTCACTTTTGTTCACAGCTTCAGTTTCAAGTTTATTTGTAATAAGCAGGTGTTGCAGCTTGCTTGCAGATGAAAATGCTGTAGTGTTTATTTCAGTTAATTTAATGTAAACAATTTCATTCTGCTTTTGTACTGCTGGGTGAGACTTCCAGAGTGATACGACTGTGTGCTTCATGGTTTAGATTCTTAATTTGTGGATCTTCAAAATATCTAAAGTTTTCAGAGTGTGGTGCTTAGCAGTTTTCTGTGAAATGCCTTAAATTAAGCGACCAAAATTCCAGACTAACTCAGGAAAAGTAAGCTTAAATTAGGCCCAGGATTTCTTAAAAAGCAGGTGTTTATAGCAGAGCAGGGCAGGGTATATTTCTGCTGTATATGTATTTGTGTTTCATTTTGATACTCTGTTTTGAAAACGTATATATTGCATTTAAATATTTGCCTGATACAACTGGAAACTCTTTTCTATAACTGGAAACAAAATTGTGTTGTTTTTGTTTAGGGCATAAACATTTTTCCCTTTTCTTTTTTTTCCTCCTCTTTTAGTTAAACCAGTTTTCCCTTCAGTTTCTGAAACCAGCCATTGAAATGAAAAACTAGCTAGCATCCAGCTTCGGTCTCTCGTCGTGCATGTGGTGGTAGCAGTGCACTGAGTTGGCCCTGCTTGCTTTGGTGCCTTGGAAAAGGAGGTTCATGACAGTGATGTATAAGGTAGAATTGGGTACCGACGGTGATGTCAGGCAAATGGTGTGTAGTGGGCAGCGCGAGGGTCCTCCTGCAAGGTGGTGGGAGGTGCTGGGCAGTTTTAAATCGGTGAAGTACCAATTTCCCAGCACCTCGGACCGTGTCACCAGTCTGCATGTTTATGCTTCATCCTTCAAACTCATGCATATGCCTGGTTTTGAGCGGGCAAACAGACACGCTGGTGTCCTTCAGAGCCAAGGACGTCACGGACAAGCCTTGCAGGGTGGCCACCTTGGCAGCAAGAGGTCTCGGCGCACAGAGGTTGCTCCTGCAGGGCTGTCGTGCCGCTCCATGCCAGGAAGGGGTGAAGGCTCACGTGCAAGCCTGTTTTCATGCAAAAAGCAAGCGTGTGTTTGTCCTTCCAGTAATGTTTTACAGGTAGAAGTCAGTGACCCTCTCCACATGGCAGAGAGTATGGCTGTGCCGAGCAGTTTGGATCCCGTTCATGAAAGCTCTGGGAACGTTGGCCCAAAGATGATTTGTTGGGTTTTCCTAACTGGCAAGGGAAAAAGGAAAAAGCTGTTTGCCTGGCACGGCCTGTTGCTTTGGGCCAGCCTGCTTGCTGGAAGAGGCTGGGGAACAGCCGTGTATTGATAAGTAAGTGGTGTGCGTGAGAGGGAATTCCCAAGCAGGGCTGGCGTTCTTGTTTCACTTTGATAAATGCAACAGCAGTGCCTTTTCTGTTTTATGTCAAATACTTGGGCTGACACATTTGGTACTTCCCCTAAAGAAAAGTAACTTAAGTAAGATTTTTTTTTTGGTGTATTAGACTGCCTTCAAGTATTTTTAAAAACAACCAACCTGAAATCAAAGTGTAATTCATGCTGTCTTCCAGAAAACAAAGGACACAAAGTATAACAGTGAAAATTAACTCTACTATCTGACACATTTGGTACTTCCCCTAAAGAAAAGTAACTTAAGTAAGATTTTTTTTTGGTGTATTAGACTGCCTTCAAGTATTTTTAAAAACAACCAACCTGAAATCAAAGTGTAATTCATGCTGTCTTCCAGAAAACAAAGGACACAAAGTATAACAGTGAAAATTAACTCTACTATTGACGAGTTATCTTTTATTTTTTGTAAGTGTAGCATTTTATTTCATATTACAGTGATATTTTCAGTGTAACTGTTAGCCTTTAAACTCTGAGTTGGCTTACTTTTTTTATTCATTTTTCATATTCACACATAATAAAAATAAACTAATATTAGTTAAATGAAAAGAAACTTGTGAGAAACAACTCGTGTAGAACTGACAATTAATAATTCATATTTCCCACTTAAAAATAGGTCTCGTACTTTTTTCTCATTGCTTTTCTGTTTCTTCCTAAAAAAAGCAGCTGAAGTGAAGACGCTTAATTTTCATATCAGAATGTGGCATTGTAACAATGATTCACCTTACGTCTGGATTTCTATCTGTTGTAACAACTGGTTGGCATGGTGCGTCATTAAAATTCAAATAGCATTGTGTAGAAATTTCTGCAGAAATGCATTATGAATGTGGATGTAAGTAACAGATGAGGGCTGCTAGGTTTTTTTGGGGGGGTTCTCAAAAGTGCAAGAGTCATTTAAAGATAAAATAATCAGCTTAAACATGTAAGGGAGGGCTATATAGATTTCCTAATTTATGCATCTTGGAAAATAAACAAAAGCAAAATGCTTGTCATTTGGTACTAATGTGGTGGAATAGCGTGGCAGCGGGATCCCTGCTTTTCACTCAGCCTCTCATAAAGATTCAACTTCACTTCAGCTGTAAAAATGTGCAAATTACATTACTACTACATGACTGACTTTTGTAATTACATTAAGCGATTGAGATAAATCCCAGTGCTGGGTTCCCAAAAGAATGCTTGCAGCTGTGTGATTTTCGCATCTGATCCTATGGTTTGTTGTACCCAGCAATGCCTGCTTTTCTTTTTTTTTTTTCCCTTTTTTTTTTTAAAGGAGTCTGTTTGGTTAAGAGGTCATGTTGGGCACAAGATGGAAGAATAAAGCAAGATTGCTTTCTAGGGTGTACCACCCAGAAATTTGTTTTGTGGAAAAGGTTAGCAGGCCATGATGATTTTCACAGAAAGGCAGGTGCAGTATTGTCCGCGTGGCACACTTGTGAGCTTCACATGGACATAATGCACATGTAGTACACAGAAACCATGCTGAGACATTGCGATCTGCGTGTCTGCTCATTTGCTGGAGAAAATAAATTGTTTTGCAGTCTTAAAAGTGACTATTACGCATGTTTTCCTTTACAAAAGCCAAATTAGATGTCGGTGGAGAGATAAGATTGCATACTCAATTTTTTTATACAGCAGTTAGTTAAATTGGTTTGTTTGGGAATAGAAGGGGAAGGAAGAATATTTATTCTCAAATTTTGTAGTTAAATTTATTGTTGGGAAGGTCAAGCAGAGGAATGAGATTTTGCTAGTAAAGTTCAGCTGCCCAGGTTTGCCAATAGGTGAAAATTAGAAATTTGATTTCTATTTTAATGGATATAATGAATATAAAACAAAGATTAAAAATTATATAATTTTACAGTACAAGTAATAGGTGTCGTATAGAAAAACAAATAGTATGATGAATAATTTTTCAGATTTGCATTCGTCTGTGGATATTAGCAGTTGACAAAGGATTGCACTGAAAAAAAGAATTGTATCCTTTCATAACTGATTTTCACTACATGTAGTTTGGAGCTTGAAGTCATCTAAGTCCATTCTATCTATTTAAAAGGAAAACTAGAAAAATAAAGCAGAATATATTGATTCTCCAAATCTGAGATACACTTCAGCAAAAAGACGTTCCTGTTGTCGGTCATAAATTTTCTTTCAAGTTTACTTACTTGTTAGGGGCTGCTGTTAATTATACGGGCTGCAAAAAAATGAAAACTGAATCATTGGCAAAAAAGTTTTTAGGCATTATGTCATTGTTATCCATGGATTCTTCCCTTTCCTGTCCACGTACTTGTAAGGTGTAGCACAGGTCATCTGCGCATAGAGGATCAAAGCCGGTGCTCGAATAGCTTGTTCTTTCACACTGTGCAGATGTGTTTTTTAGTTTATGACATTCTGGCAGAATCAGAGAAATAAAACTGCAGTTTGTAATCTTTAATTTGGTAGGATTAGTAACACTGCAAGAGAAATTGGGCTTTTAAAACGCAGAGCTAGTGACCATTCCAGAAGAGAAATGTGCTGTTTTTCTAAGGGTTAGATTCTCATTGTTATATAGTGTTGAAAAAAAAATTAAATTTTTTAAACAAAAAAGGGATGCCAGACAATTTAGTAGCATTTGATAATACAGCATGATGAGAACTTGATAAAAGAAAGGCAATCTATTAACCTTGCTTTTACTGTGAAGACCTTCAGCTGAAGTACCAGAGTTGTATTCAATAGAAAAGGCTTGACCTTGGAATAAAAGTGCATATTCCTGGAACCCTCATTTTTAATTAAAAAAAAAAAGTTGCATTGAAAAGATGAGCAAAATATGCTTACTCCTCTGACTGAAAGAAAAATCGGATGCCATTTATCTTTCTGATTGCATACCATCTGCACCCCCAGGCACAGCTCAGTTTCAGCAAGGGTGGTACAGAAGTCCACGTCCACTGCAAATGTTTGAAATACTGACAAAACAAGTTGATAGGAAACCTGTGATAAGTTTTCTGAACGTCTTTTGCAAGAGGATGTGTCGGCACCATGTGCACAGCGGTAGGGTGTCTCTGCAGCCAGATAGGCTTTGTGGAGAGAAAAGGAGGTTGTGGTGATGAAGGCACAGCTTGGGTGAGGGTTTCCCTGTGTGACTGGATTAGAAAGACCACCTCTACAACAACTGCAGAAGGAGTCTGGCAGAGAGGTGTAGTCTGAATGTGTGAGCCCCAAAACAGTCACAGTTGGACATGCTGTCCCCATGGTGCAGGGACAGCCTTGCCTGGGGATGATGTCCACAGTGCCTGAGAGGGGTAGAGAGGTTGAGGAGCACCATGTCAAGTCTCTAAAAGATGTAATAGTGAACTATGGACAGAAATCAATCTATGAATTTATGTACTTTTGTGCTTTTCACTTGCCTTGATCTTGTTAATGTTAACAAGGTCCTTTATTATAGGTATTATTGCACGCAGTGGGATGGTTTGGAATACTTCTTTTCTCAAAACACTGTTTGGCCAGGAGCTGAAGGCCCTTGTGGGCAGCAGCAGCTGACAGCCCTTCCGATGGAATCCTTCTGCTGGGATCCTTGTTGTGTCTATACTGGCATAAAAGTCACTTTTCATATCCAAAAGCACGCCTGTTAAAACATTACAGGACTGCAAGATTGTGTCAGCAAGAGTCCACGAAACAGTTCAGTGCAAATTCACTTTAAAAAATTGCATATTACCCTTTTGATTATTAACATGCTTGTAGCCTCAGGTTAATCTTGCAGAAGGACCCTCCAGCCCCAATCTGTAGCTGTATTCGCTATCACAGTCATTACCAGCATCTTCTATTAAGACTGACCAACTCTTCACATGTCAACTAAACATTCAGCTTCAGGCCTGTCTGTCATTTATCACTGAACTGGGGACACTGAGTAGAGTTAAATTAAAAATGGCTGTCCCTCTTCTGGCTCTGTCTATGTCCTTAAAAATATCTGCGTGGAATAAGCGAGGCAGCAGATAATTCTCGTAACGGCAAAGCAACACTTTTCTGTCAGGACTTTTTCCCAGATACAAAAATCCTAGTAAAATGTCACGTGGATAGTGTTTGTACAATCTATTAAAAAATCAAGAGGCAGTAATTAGAACCTTCTGAATTAAGGGAGGTTCCTAGACTTCAGCAACAACATACAGGCCTTTTCTTAATTTACTACTACTTCTCCTTATCCCTATACTAATTATCCAGCTTTGTGGCAATCGGATGTCTGGTTCTCATTTATTGTGTTTTATAATTGCTTATTCATCCAGCTCTTATCGCAGAGCTGGATGCTTGGGCTTTGTTTTCCCTCCCTTAAATAATTTATATGTAAGGTTTAGCAAATGGAACCTTGCTACTTGTGTGAAGCTGCCATTTAACCATGAAGTTGAAATGCTTTTATTGAGTTTGCCCTGCAGATATGGTCCGCTGTGGCAGGGCTGTCCATATTTGGTGGCTGTGCAAGGAGAGCCAGGTGGTGCTGCAAAGCGTAGCACAGTGAAGCGTGGACAGATCTAGGTTTGACATTTGTCATCCTGTACTGCTAAAGGGAAGAGAAAAATCTGCTTTTCCATATGCTTATGCTTTAATTTTTGCCTGCAGTTTTGTCCAGATGGCCTTGTGAACATTGTTTACTTTAAGATGCTGTCCCAGATGTTTTTGAATGCCGATGGATAAATGCAACAACTGTGGTATACTAATACACAAATTATTTACACAATTTTGGCTTTTTTTTTTTCTTTTTTTTTTACTTTTTAACCATCTCTTCTCCCCAGCACTTCCCTGTATGGCAGACTTTTCTGAGGGGAAGAAGTCTCCACTTGTATTATTAAATGTCTGAGAGCAAGCAATGCCTTCAAGCTGCAGACACTTGGAGCTCCCATTCTCCTGCTATGGTTCTTTTGGAGCTCTGTGTGGATGGATGAGTCTCCCAACCCTGTAGCATGCCCCTTGTAAGCATGTCAGTGAAAAGGTGGTGCTGCACGTAGCCCATAAAACTGCGACTGTTTCAGGGTGTGAGCGGCTCCCAAGCTATTTGTCATTTGTTGCATTGTCTGCTTTTTCAAGGAGAACTTGATCTCCCACTTTGCCCTTGTACTGTCTTAATTTTCCACACCAGTGGAAAGGAGAATATTTCAAAGCTGTGTAAGCAGTATTAACAAGAACATTTAAAAATGTTTTTAAACAGTACAGCACCTCTAATTGTGTTTTGACAAACTCAGGCACAATTTGGAAGAATAATTAAGCCTTGATGGCACTATAGGGTGCAGCGAGACTGCATCAGAAGCTTGTTGCCAGATACAATAGATAGTTCAATGGCTTCTTTTTTATTTAATTATATTTTTTCATCTTCTAAGCAAGAAACTATCTAGGAGAGCACATAAAAGAACCTTTTGGCATGAGCATTTCATTAACGTAAATAGGTCTGTTAGTTATTTCTCAAGAACACTTTAATGAGACTTCAATGTGAAACTCATTAGAACAAATACATGAATTCATATGTCAAGACAGAGATTGCAGCATCACGGTTCTTGGCATCTATTAAGTCCATAACTCGTTTACATTGACATGCGTTGTTAATCAATATTTAAGACACTGCAGATGTCAGTAATGTTCATATTTAGTCCTGCAACCATGACAGTATGAAAGTTGCTAGTAGAATTCGAGGCTAAATATTATCTCAAGTCTTGCTATTACCTCTAGGCTACAAGTTAATGACTGTCTAACTTTGCTGCCCCTCATCTATTTAAATAATAAGGGAAATAAGGAAATACATGGACATTATACTGGTAGCATATCCCATTGCAGTTTTTATCAAATTTTTGTTGTATGACATTAAACCAACAGCGTTGTATGCATTTGGGTTGTGTTAGCAATTCCTCAGGCTGCGGCAAAGGGAGGTGGGTGGAGGAGCAAATGTAGCCTTCGGGGAAACTGATAACAACTCGGATTCGGCCATTGACTGAGTTGTACAAGACAATTCAAACAAAGTGCGATAATCAATAAAGACCGTGTAGCGTTCAGGTGGTAACTTTTGGTTACCTCTTTTCAAATGCACCAAAAAGCAGCCTTTGCGTGGGGTTTCTGTTGTGTCTAATGAGCGCACATCTAAACTGCCTATTGTTAATAAGCTAGCAGAGCTGGTTTTACTTTATTTATGGCTTGGGTAATTGAAGAAGTTACAGTCTTACCGGACAATGTAATTGTTGTGGAAGGTTTTGCTGGATATATGTAGGGGATATATGTAGATATGTAGGGGATTCTTTTTCCAGGAGTTTAGCTGCTGATTTTTTTTAACTTTTAAAGTTAAATCTTAACTGTCTCTCTTTTTCTTTTTCTCTTTCTTTAAAGACTGTATCTTTAACTCTTTAACTGCTTTAACCATCAAGTTATCTTTTCCTATATATTAAAAATGGTAAGTGTAATCCATGGAAGGACTGGATTGATTAAACTCTGCAATTATACAGTAATGTTAATCTGTAGTTTAATTATAGGTTCATCCAAAATCATACGACTCCGTGAAGAAAACAGTGAAACAAGTGAAATACTGAAAGGAAAAAGTTCTGGTAATGGCACATCTGTTCCAGTCAAAGGAATAAATAATTTAGGAAATACATGCTTTTTTAATGCTGTCATGCAGGTAAGATGGAAATATCATACAGCTTTCTCTTCGTAGACTTCAGAAATACTTAATCTTGTATAAACTGTGGGCTTCAGAAAAGGTTCTGACTGTTACCAGTCTTCATTCTGCTTTCTGAAGGTCCTTTTCAAATTCTTTTCACTCCTTGCTATCCAAGCAATATTTCCTGTTATAACAAAAGAGAATTCTTGGATCTGTTGTGTTTTTCACAGTAATGAGACAAATGAAAATGTCAAGTGTTTTATACACTGCATATGTGTGTGGGTTGTACTCTAGCATATGGTTTTATTTGTAGTTCAGCATTGGGCAGTCATGAGTAATGCACGGTATTTACCATACCGTGGTGGGTGTGAAAAGTGGTACTTTATGCATAATGTAAATGTCTGCACGGTGTATTGTGATGATTTTAAGCCCCTGCAATGGATGCAGTTATAAAAGTACTTTTATTGCTTATGCTTTTTTTTTTTTTGTCTGACCAGAATAAGAGGAATGAGCTGTACTAATACACTTTTACTGACGTTGAGTGTACAACTAAGCCAACAGCTTCAGAAAAGCAGCAGCCTTAGTGGGTTTCACATTAGAATATCCTCTTGCTTGTCAGTTGAGCAGAGACATCTGTATGTCTGCAGACAGGAGTGAGCAAATGAGAGAACACCGCTACGAAGGTGCTCGGAACTGGCACTCTTTACCTGGTGTTTATAGTGGTGATGACAAAACTTAGCAAACAAACAGTAAATTTGTAAGGAGTAGAACTACTGCTAGTTGTTCGAACCCTAAGGAGTAGAACTACTACTAGTTGTTCCCTGTCCATACATAGGGCATTGTTGAAACCTAAGTGATCTGCAGTCAGAGTTAACCAAAAATAAAGAAACAAAGGTGAGATACGTGGAGCTGGTTTCTCTCTTAAATTCAGAGAGGTAATGCTTTTCAGCGTGCCAAAGCCCTTGTGCTTCTTGGGGCATGACGAGGTGGACTGCAGAGATTAAAAGAAACAAATAATTTGTGATACTAAATGTCCTCACCATAAAAAAAAAAATAATAAAATGAGCGAATCTTGTTGTTCAACAAAAGTAACAAAGTTATTACTAGGAAACTATTTTGGAATTACAGAAACAGCAATAGATACAATTTTAGAAACAGCCTGAGATCAATGATCTTGGCTCTTAAAAGGGTAATACCTGCTTTTTCGGGTGGTCCGATTTAAGCCTCAGTTGTACATTATGAAATATATCTGGGTTTGTCTATCACTGAAGCTAGAATTTATAAATAAAGAAAAATGTATAGTTGGAAGATCAGCATGTGTTTCTTGGGTTTATTTTTTTCTCTTTAAGAACTTGGCACAGACTCACATACTAAATGAACTGATGTATGAGATGAAGGAGAAAGGAACAAAGTTAAAAATCTGTCATACTTCAGACTCCCAATTGGTAAGTATGCAGTAAGAAACACAAATCTGGGGAAATGTGGGAAGAAGCTGGAGGCTGGGAAAGTGCATCTCCATCAAAGACACACTCCATTTCCATTTTCTTTTCCCTTTTAGTTGTTTAGCTGGTTTATGATATCTGTGAACTCACTCCTTTTACAAAACTAATTATTCAGCCCTGGAGGAGGAGGAATAATCACTTCCTTTTACGTTTTGTGACATTGAAGTAGCAAGTAATGCCTGACCTTAAGAAAGAGTGGCAGGCTTATTTTTGTTTCTTATTTCATTTCCTCAGTGTGCGTGTATAATACAGGAAATAGTATATTTGGCTCTAGAAAGTGTTAATGAAATATTTTATTCCAGTCTGTCCCAGCCCAGATAAAGAAAGAAGTTTACAGAGGATTTTTTATTCTTTTTACTTTCTTTTTTTTTTCCTGTTTCTGCTGTTTGTTGGGAGCTTTCTGGTGGCAGTGAGGGTTGAGGGGTAGGATTCTGTTTCAGATACCTCTGAAACGTTCAAGATTTCTGTATGTTGCTGTCAATGGTGTTCATAGCTTCTCCAGGCAAGAACAGTGTGAAATTCACTGTACTGCTGTCTGTATTTCCTCCAGTGGCAGTTCTGAGCAGCAACATGTTTCACTAAGTTATCCCGAGCCACGGCGGAGGTCTGGAGCTTGTTTGTGCCCAGAGGCTTAGAAAGCCAGTGGTATGTTGGCCTATGCTTGATGCAAAACTTACACAGCCATAAGGTTGAAAGATTTATTTTTTGTTTAATGGCAATGCTTACAATATAAATAAGATCTTTGGAGCAAAGACTGTGTTTTCTGGTCTTTGTATGTCAACACAGGATTAGAGGGCTGCAGTCATCTAACTAATAGTAATGTAGAAACTCCCAGCTGCCTGCTTGGTAAAGGGCACTTGTCCACCTTTTGATACTGTATATAATGCAAATACTTTATATTTGTGTGTATCTAGAGCGCTGATGTTTTGTGTGGATCTGTTTTCTGGATGAGGCAGCCTCTCTGATTGATTGTCCGGCGGTTGTAAACTGTGTTTGCGAGAGTCAGGCCAGCTGGTGGGAAGCACTGTGGTCACGTATGAACCTGTGAGCGTGTTAGGGAGAGCTGGTGATCTGTGGCTGTTGGGATGCAGGTGGCATATAAGCGGTGCAGGATTGTCTCCTGCTCTAAGACTGGCTGGGGTGGCTGCTGGCTGTCTCCTTCCAGCCGTGGGACCTGCTGGCTGGGGTGAATCTCACACCAGGAGGGGCTGTGCAGGATGCATCTCGTGCCTGTCCCCCCTTTGGGGTCTGCTGTCAGCCCTTGCTATGAACTGGTGCCGGTACTTTCTGAGCACCTGGTTCCTGGAGGTTCTGTGGCTGTCGGATATGTGGAAGTTTTGGTGTGAGGCGCTCAGGTCAGAGAAGCTAGCCACCCCTTCCCTAAGGTTGAGTAGACAGGTGCCCCTGAGCTTCATCTTACGCTGGCCCATGGAGGAGGTCACCCGCATTGTCTCCAGCTGAATGTCAGTGCACGTGGGAGTAAGAATAAAGCAGGTAATGCAGGAGGTAGTCTGTTTTTGTGAGAATCTGACTGGCTCATTGACGTGCCTGTTTCCAAAACCATTGGTTTCCAACTAATTTGATCAACAAGAATTTTTTGGTTTTGCAGCGATTACTGCTTAAATAATAAGCTTCCTCTTCAACTATTTCAGTCATGTAGTGACATCAACATTTTTCAAAAAAACCCCAAAACACTCTTAAGACTGAAAGTTTCATTGTTCTTTGTCATAAATGTACTAACTTGAAATAAGTCTTGTGCGTCATTAACTTTGAAATCTGATGTGCAGTTTACCTTTGCTTTGAAGGATCCTTTAGTGGTAAACCTCTCCAGCCCAGGACCCTTGACTTCAGCGATGTTCTTGTTCCTTCACAGCATGAGGGAGGCTGGAAAAGGTCCTCTTTCTCCCAAAGTGCTCTTCAGCCAGCTTTGTCAAAAGTACGTATTGTCAGTATCTTTTACTTGTTTATTTATTTTTAATTTCCAGTTACATGTTTCTAAGTGTGCCATGTCTCTTGTCCTTTCTAAGGTGCCATTACATTTTTACTGGGCAGTCCAGAAAATGTCTTCTTCATGCTTTAAAGTTGCGGGGCTCCTTGTTGCGCTCCAGGGTTGTACCTGCTCTTCATGAAACGTATGGCCCAGTCCATAAACACAAACTTTCAATGGACTTTGAACTGAGTGTGGGGAGGCAGAAGAGGGCATGGTGAAACTGAAGAAAGTAGAATTACCTTTCAGGGTTTTTTTGTATGTTAGCGTAAACCTGTGCTAGGACTGCAAAGTGTATGTAGATATTTTGAAAAAAAGGGTAAGCTTTTAAATGGGAAACCTCTGCTATGATGTCTGACCTTGGCATCAATTCAAAATTAAAAAGGGTCTAACAAGTGAGGACTTGAAGCAGTACTGAAATGGCATATGGCTCCAGATTGCAAAGAGCTTACAAGCCCTAAAGAAACTCCTGTTTCTTGACGTGGAAAATGTTTACAGTGGTGCTTTGTAGGTGCCTTCAATTATGATGCAAACAATCTTGCTTTTTAAAACACCTGTGGAAGACCTATTTAAAAGTTGATACAAATATATAAATATTGACTTTACAAGTAAAAGAAGCTGTAGAAGCAGAGTAACTGGAGGATGATACAGCTGAATTGCACATTTTAAATGATTAATAATGCATGTTCATTTATTTAATACAATATTATTTTATGGAATTTTAAGCTTTCTGCAGCAAGAGAGTTAGGAGGAAAGTTGCAGCCTCCTTCCATGGTGTTCCAGGGCAACCTCGCTGTGCAAGCATGGGTTTAAAATATGGTGTAAAGAAACAAAAGCTTTTAGACGAGAGCAGGGATATTTTAATTCTGATGAAGAAATCAGTTATTACTTTATCCTCAGACTTCAACTTCAGAAACCTAATATATTTTTTCTATTGTACTTGGCTTCCTTTTGGTTCTTTTGAGCTGTAAAAGGAAATGTGTATACACTGTCCTTAAAGTGATTTTGAGTGAAAGAGCAGTGTTCTCTGTTTAGCATTATCTACCTGGAAGAAAAGTCTGTAGGGAAGAAAAATATCTTGTTTCCTCACTCCTCCTTCTGTCTCAGGGCTGACTCAAAAATGTGATTATAAGAACAAAATTTGATTGAGAAATGATTAAATAGGAATAGTACTTTTTTCTCTGTAAGTATTAAGGATAGAAGGGAAAAGATGACGTAAAACATGTTTTGAAGACCACCTTGGCAAACTCACTGTTAAATAATCACAATGCACTTCAGATGGCATTGTATTTTTGAATTGATAGCTGTTTTGTATCTGCTCTCTGTGTGTGTACCAATACAAGTTATTGGTATTAAATCTCAGATCCTGGTTGTTCTTTTTTTTGTTGTTGTTTTTTGATGTTTAAGATGGGCATATACTTTAACTGCCAGCTAAAATTGAAACATATTTTAATGTGAGCAGCAGACTTTTGCTGTTTGGACATGTATCTGTCAGCTTCTGCCATCTCCTGCCTTCATCCCTACTTTTTACTTTTGTTAGCCTTGCAGAACACAACTTAGATATAAATCCTTTACTAGCTCTAGTATCAATAACAAAAGCATTGGCTACATCCTGTCAGCAAGAAATTAGGTGTTTGGGGCACTAAGTGGCTGCACAAGTATGACAGAAGGTTTTGGTCTTTTGATTATTTTGTTATTGATGGTGATGTAAGCAAGAAAGAAGAAAGGGAGAATTTCAGCAAATTCAGCAGTCTGCAGTGGCAGAAGTAGGAGAATGGGAAATCTTTATCTTTGCAAGCTGAATAATTTACTATATATTAACTTAAACAGTATGAATGCAGTGTCCTGTCATGCCATTTTTACAAAACCTTTTTTCGTCTTTTAAAGTTGGCTGTCTACTCTTTAGCAAAGCTGAAATGAGAGAACATGGCAAGATTGCAGGAGTCCAAGCTAGGAAGAAGTCTGTGTTGCTGCGGCATTCTCTGTAACCTGCGTTTTAACTCCTGCCAAGAAGTCGTGTTGTTAAAGTAATCTTAAAGGCATGCACTACTTGTGTTCTTCACATGCATTGGCATAAACTCTTTTAACTTAACAAATGAAGTTCAAACAGCATCTTTCCCAAAGAGATGACAGGATGAATGCGTAAAAGGAAGAACTCCACTGAAAAAAAATGTTCACATTTCAGAGAGATATGTCAGAGAAAGACAAGTCCATTAACTACTGGGGAGAAGGGCATGGGGAAGGACTTCTAATAATAAAGTTTAGGTTTTATATATTTTACATAAAAGTTTGCTGACTCCAGTTGCAGCCTCATTTTTGGTTTTTTTTTTTTTTTTAATCTATTCCTTCCTCATCACAGATCTTGCTGTCTCAGTCCCAGTCTACAGTATATGACCATACCTTTCTTCAGTAAGGAATTTATGAAGCGGATTGTACAGATAGTACAGGATGTACTTGTCTGATATCAAGAGTTGGACTCAGTGACCCAGGAATTGTCTTCCCAGCCCCAGTCTAATTAACATTGTTTTGAGTAGTTGCTTGTAGCTTGCAAAACAGGGGCACACACACTGTTGGATCAGTTGATGCAAGATGTAGTAAGGTAGCTGTATAATGTAACACCTGACACTTGCCCTCATTTCCAGTTCAGTGCTGGAATAACACTTGTGAATTTGATGTCCAGAGTTGCTTTTTCTGATGCCCTTGTAGGACTACAGGACTCCCCCTGCTTCAGATGTTGCAGCATGAGTTTGAATGCTCACATTTGAACTGGGCATCCTTACTCACAAATCGGAAAGAGCTCAGTGAAAGAAGACCTAAGAAGGCAGGGGAGGAAGGAAGAGCAAAAAAAGGAGTGGGCGAAGGCATGTAGAAACACGGCTAGGTATGGGCACAGAGCCCGTAAAGAAAGGGAGCAGGCGTTGCCTTGTTCAGCTGCAGCTCTGTCATGGCACCAGGTGGGATCCCAAAACCTGCAAGTGAAAAACTCTGCAAGTGGATGCACGTTTGCTGCTCAAAAGCAGTAAGAGAACTGGGACACAGTCCTTTCAGCTGCGAGCTGCGTCTTTAAGAGTCTAGGGAGATCACGGCATGAAGTTTGTCGTCTTGTGTATGAAAGGGTATTTTTGGTGCTTTTTTTGTTAAATAACAAAAGAAAAAAAATGATACCGATTGTTAATTTTATCAAGTGGTGGGGTAGCCAGGTTGAAGAAGGGGAGAAGAAGAAAAGAAATGGATGAGTCTTTCTATAGCAACTGTTTAGCGTCTGGTACTAATTCATCCACTGTTAATTTTGTTAGTGTTGCAGCTGTCAGATGTTTTGCGAGGACAGATTGTAAGCATAGCTACGGGGCCCTTCTGTTGGTTTTCCACTGTGCTGAATATCAGGACTGCAGACTTCTGACTTATCTGGAGACTTAGTGACTAATGCAACACTGATGTATTAAGAGGACATAAATTTTATTTCCTTTATTCGTTATGACTGAATAATTTTATTTGTGGAAGAAAGCTTAGATTTGTGTGGCAAGTAAATGTTGCAGCATATAAGTGATGAGTCCATAAAGTAGTTACAGAATTTAGCTGCTTCAAAGCTCCACCAAATAATTATTTATAGGGATATTATATTGCTACGCTAACATGCAGGAAAAAAATACTCGCCTAACAAAGATTTTATTGGTGGTCACAAAATATACATAGGTCTTCCCTCCCTGAGGATTATTCGTCCTTCCTTCTCAGGTGCAGAAAGCAGAACTCAGGACAGAGGTTTATGTGGGGCAGACAGAACACAGACCATAGGCAGTTTTGGAGGGAAACCTAAACGATGCTTGGAGCATTCCGCATTTATCACTTCTGAGAGGAAAAGCTAAGGGAAACGGAGGTAATGTTGTACAGGATTTAAGGGGTGAAGAAAACAGGATTTTTCTCGTTCATTAGGAGTCTTTTTGAGATGTTTCTTTTAAAATAATAACTGCTATAGAGAAAAATTTCTTTTTAGAAAAGATTTCCAACTTGCTTATTTTCCCCATTTGACTTTTACCATTTAAAGATAATAGCAGCAGAACACACGGTTGATGTTCCCTTGTCCCTGTCACGCCTCCACATGCCTGGCTGATGGTGCTGCGTCATGTTCAGGAGCTCTCTGACAGAGGAGATGGAATCTTCTCCATGCAGCAGCAGTGGAGATATTGCAGGTCTTTATTTCAGTTAACTTTTCGGAGTCCTTCATTTCAGGAACAAGTTAAGAAAGCTGGATGGATGAGGTCTATGGGTGCAAAGAAGATTAAATGCATATATAAGTAGCATGCATTGGCAGGACTCATGTGCACTTTTTCCCGAGTTTTGTGTTCACTTCTTCCACTCAGGAGGAAGACCTGTGCAGCGTTTTGGACAACACAAGAATTTGCAATGTGTGTGGTATTGGTGAGCTGCGTAAGCAATGTTTGTAGATACAATGAAGGAGGAAACCAATAATTTCATTAGGTACAGCAGAGGTGTATCCTCAGTAGCAATGTTGAGGTTAACCAGAACAGAGCATTACAAGATAAAGCCAGTTTGGAGCTTTGGGGAGAGGTAACAAAAATAGGAAGACCTCATGTCAAGAGGGACTTGAATATTGGGAGTTTAGGTAGGAGGGGATGTGAAAAGGAGGCATGGCAGCAAGAGAAGACAATAAATGATAGAAGATAAATTAGCTGTGCTTATTTAACTGCCCTCATGAGAGTTCAAGGAGCTGTCTGTGGAATGGAAAGGCAATAGCTTTAGAGCCAGGGGAAAGTGGGTTTTTTTAATATTCAATAGAGCTAACCTGTGAAACTTGCTGTCATAGAGCACCGTTGAAAACATTAGCAGGACTTACAGGAAGAAAGAAGAACTAAATGCCCATATAAAGAGAAAACTTTTTTTTTATAGGGACACAAGACCTCGTGCATAAAGGCCTTCACTTGGCTACCAGCTGGTAGTCAGGAAGAAATTTCCCCAGACGGGTATTTCCATTACTCAGTAAAAACAGCCATATTTTCCCTCTGACGGTCAAGTGGGAAATGGCTCTGCTGTGGCATGTCAGCTATTACACCCATTCAGAGCCACTTCTAACAAGTGCTCTTTGCTCATGTACCAGGGATCTGGTGCATTGCAAGAAAGTGGTGGTGCCTCATTTTCTCTTTTGGGGGAAGGTGAGGCAGAAAAAGATGAAAGAAATCAGCCAGCAGGCCCAAAGGGGAGCTAAGTCCTGCCTATCTGTGCCATTGACATAGGACCGGCGTGTCTGTTGTTATTTGAGTACATGTGGGGACGAGCCTGTGTTTGTCCGGGTTTTTTCCCACCAAGCTCCTCACGGTAGCAGAACTCTTCTGTCTGTGGGGCAGGTTTGAGATCAGATTAATCATGGGGATTAAGCATGCTGTAGGATTTTGCTCTGTTTTCTGTCATAGTGCTGCATATAATTTGGGATCACTAATGCGAACGATCACTTCAGGAAGAACAAAACTTTTCATTCTAGCTATTCTATAATAACAGAGAATGGATATTTTATATCACTGAGAAGGGTAAGCCCTGTGAGTTCTGGAAACTTCTATAAAATGGCCCTTTGCATGCTTTTTTTGAACTTTCATTGGTAACTGATCAGTCTTGAGGGATTAACATCATCTGCAGGTAAGCAGAATTTCTTCTCTCAGGCTAACATTAAGTAAACATTTTACTTTGCTTCTCTATAGGATACTGCAGTATTAAAGGAGTTCCTCTGCATTTTGCACTACTGGAAAAAATCAAATAGTATGTTGTGTTTTCAAGCACTTAATATTGTTTCTGAAGTTTTCCAAACCATTAGGATATCTTCTGCTCAAAAAGAGTAATTACTGAAAGGGTGATTTTGGAGAGGATTTTTATTAGAGACAGTAAATGAAGGATAGCTTAATTTCCCTCAAATGAATGTAAGATAGTAATCAAAAGTATTAATGCTTAGAGAAAATTTTTTTTTGTTTGTTTAAAATTGTATGTTATGTAATTATTGTTATTAAAACATCCTGGGAAGTTGATCCTCATAAAAAATATTTCTTTAACTGACAGTCAAGCAATTATAGCTGGTCTCCAGATGAGCACCAAGAAGCTAGATAAGCAGTATGCATGTAGATGTCACAGTTGTCCTTCACCACTTATGGCCATTAGCAGGAGTTCAACCTGTTCTGTCATTATCCTGCTGACACTGTACAACAGGTTGTATCGCATTGGCACTGGCTTCCATATGTCAGCACATCTGTGAGCGGTCAACTCAACCAACCATCTTCAAGTCCCCCACTTCTGCCAAGGATCTCGCTTGAAGCATATTTTCAAGGAGACGAGAGTGCACATCTTTTAGTTGTCAGATTTCTGTGTATCACCATGGATTAATTCCTTTATCTTTTTTTCCCCCCTAACGCTGGTTTATAATTGTAGGAAGTTTCCAGTAAATGCATCGTGTGGTGTGAAATTCCCTCCCTCCCCTTTTTTTATTGTTGTTTTTTTGTTTATTTTCTTTTGTGGCTTCCCCCCAACCCAAATGCACTAATGTGAAATGTTTTTTCACAGAACACCAGATATTTAGAATTACATACAACATTACATAGCATGCTATGGACATGAATGACAGGTTAACTAAGCAGGGTTACCAATGATGTCATTTGTCAGTCCCAGTAAATGACTCAAACCTTACATAGCACCTTTACAAGTCACTTTCCTCTCCACTCCACTTTTAAAGTGGTAGCTGCTACATTCCTATCCTTGTTTCCATTAAAATTCAAGCATGTAGATTTGCGTGAGGTTGGAAGAGGATTTAGTACAAGCACAGAGAAGCCTAAATAATCTTGTCCTCCTATAGATGCACTGTGTGCTAGTAAAATGAAAGACTAAGAGAAACGAGAAACTGCCATGGCCAGCAGTTATTTTAAACAAAAATATTTTTTAAGAGGAGTATTTCAAGTTTGAATTTGTTCTTTTTTTAAAAATTTGAAATTAATTTTTTAGGTTGACCTGCACATGCAAAAACCAAAAAATTGGCTTTAGAAAGAATGCTAAAAAAAAAAATCACCCCCTCTGCTGATTCCAGATTTTATATTAAGCCTCATAATTGAGGAGCATCGTTACATCATTTTTAACTAGGGATATTGTCAACTTTGCCTCAAAAAGTAGATACAAGGTATGAATATGAATGTATCCTATCTGTAAATGAGAACACGTTGTTCTGCATATGCAGGTTCAGATTTATTCTGCTTAATTTTAGGCGCTGACCTGAGATGCCTTGTCACCTTAGATCCTTCTCCAGTTACATCCCAAAGAGCCTCCAGCGAGTGGTTCAAAACTGAGACCCTTCTATCGCTAGCCTACCTGTAGCCCAGGGCTGCTGTGCCCTAACTTGGCATCTCGACACTTTGCCCAGCTTTCAGTTTTGCTGTTGTGGGCACGTCGCACGTCTGATGCATTTTCTGATTGCCTTTAATTTCTCCTGTCCATGAGCACAAATTTCGGAAGCAAACCTGCATGGCTTTAGTGTATGAGTGGGAAAGAAACCTCACCTTCAGGAACCCTAGAACAGCTGAAGAGCATGGCTGGCCAAGTAAGATCATCGTGCCTTGAGAAAATACTGATTCGCATTTACAGCTCGATGCACTGGTTAGCTAGAGCACGCAATCTGAGGCTGAAAATGAAAACTGTCTCAACATGAGCTCCATAAAATTGAGTAACCAAGTAAGTGGCTGGTTTTTCTGGCTGCTCTGCCAGCTTGGTAAAATTCCTGTTTGAGCCCTGCTCAGCCAGTCACCTCCTGTGCTAGATTTTGGAAGGGGTGCACGTGGTTACGCCTGCTCCTGCTCTTCCCGTGGTGCAGCGAGAGCCGCAGCTGCCATTTGGTGGCATTACTGCAAATGCAAAAAACCCCACCCTTTCAAATCCCGTTTTAGATTAATTGGTCCAAGACTTTGATTGAAGATCTAAAGGGTGACTTGTCTGGAAAAACAGGCATGGCTTGCTCAGTTAATGTGAATAGAAGTATGTTAGCAGCGAATGTTTGCTGAGTCCCATTTGGCGTTGCAAGAAGCTGGAGATCTAAATTGTTTATGAGAAACCTTCTAGCTATGGTTATCTTAGTAACGGTAACACCTTAAGGATGTCTCCACATATTCACAAATGTATTTTGTAATTTCTGTGTAATCTGTGCCTGCAAAATACGGTATTTATAGAGTATGTTGAGATGCTGTGAGTAGGGGATCCACACTTTTTGAATAGCAGTGACTGAGACTACTGAACGCCTGGCTTAGGAACAGATGCAACGTTACCCCCTGCAGTTGACTAAAACATCTCTGGCGTAAATGGTAGTGTAGCCTGAAACAGAGGTGGTTTTTCTTTTGGTTTACGAGGCTCATGCGGATGCTGCTGGTGGTCTTGTCACGAGAATTACCTTTCTCGTGGAGCCTTCTGGTTTTTGTTTGTCCCGCATAGCAAAGTGTTAACAGCACAAACTCAGCCAGCGCCAATGTCCCTTCTGTGTCCCTGGGCTGACTCGCAAGCTGGCTTGTCTCTGCTGGTGCTGTGGCCAGACACCGCGGAGGAGGATGAGGACAGCTTGAAGGATGATGTAGCCTGGGAGGACAAGGGCGACACCAGATGTGTAATTTGCAAGGCATGCAGACCCTTTCCTTCAAGACTTTTAGTTTCCAGAGATGAAAAGTTTGGAAATACACAGATTTTTTTTTTTTTTTTTTTTTTTTTTTTTTTTTTTTTTTAAGAAGCTGTTGCAGTCTTTGGTGACTTAGCTCTCTGTTTAACCTGAGTAGCCAGTATATATTATTCCAGAAGGTGGGCTTGACAGTCATTTGGTATTGCACATCCAAAAGGTAGTGACGTTATTATTTATGCAGAAGCAGTATCTTTTTAAGTTGCTGCTCTAACACTTTTTGGCTCGCGAGGATCTCAAAAGCCAAAATACACCCCCCCCCCATTCAACTTTGTTATACAAAGGAGGGCTGTGGCACATGGTTCTGCAGGAAGATCTGATCACTCACCTCACAAACAGAATTGCAGCTGGAGAGCTGCAGGCTCCTGGCTTTCTCCTGCAGGCCACTTTGGGCACTCTGCCTGTGATGCTGCTCGCCGCCATTTCGGGGATGGCCAGGGAAATCCCTGTGGAGGGCTGCTGTGCAGGAACTGGTCCTGGTGGGCTTGGGGCTGCCGTATCTGCCACCTGTGCTTACAGATGTGGTGTGGAAGCGAGGCTTTAAAAGATTTTACCAAGGGTTATAAAGTTCTGATAAGATGGACCATGCTACTCCCTGTCTTCCAAGCTTGGATAGCATGAAAAAAGAGCACGGTATCAGGATTTTCTTTTTAATGCTGGCTATCCAGATTAGTAAAGTAAACTAATGGTGATGGGAAACGTAGTGATGTTAAATCACAGTAACAGTGTGGATACTTGATGTTCTTCCATGGGTTGTCCAGATAACTTGTTTTGGTGCACCCAGAAATCGCAAAAAAGTGAGAATTAGTAATGTTTTTGTATTCAATATGCAGTGGGAGCAAAATGCTTGATATGTTTGGCTGTTCCGATGGGTGAATCAGGAAGGTTCCTTTCAGTTAGTGCAAAAACTTGTGAAATTTCAACCTCTGTCATCTCAGATTTTTATTTCTCTTAAAACCAGTTGGGTATACAATGCCCATAAGCAGCTCTGGGAGAAAAAAAATCAGACAATGTGTAGCCACCTTTGCAAACCTGATAGTTTTTGGAATTTGGATTCAAATAAATTGTCTCAGTTGGAACAACTCTGAAGAGATTGTCTCATTGGTTTCAGGCTCTTTCCATTTTAGGTATGAAGCTGTGCTTCGCTTGCTTCTGGTAATGCTACATGTTTTACTGTGAATTGCAGATGTGAAATATTGCAGCTTGTTAGGCTGTAGGACAGAAGTTTGGATGTGCTATGGTGTGAGCTGATAATTCATGATGCTAAAGGTCCTTTGAAAGCTTCTGTGAAGCAAGTGCAAGAATAACTCTTACCTGATAACGTAAGAGCAATTAACTCTTCCTATCAAGAAAACCTGTCCCAAACCCTGGCTTTTCTCATTAGCAATGCTCTTAGAATGGAAATCCTATGTGTACAGCATTTATCTCCAATATCTGTAATATTCATTGAGCAAATTTAGCATTAATAAAAACTGATTACAGTGTAAATTATATGTATCAGAATATCATATTATTACAGTTGTCTCTTACATTTCTTTAATAGCATTTGAAATGCATATGCTATGTGGTGTTGCTTATTTTTAGCGTGTTTACCATCTTCCTCATTGACTGTTCACTCAGCTCAGTAAACTGCGGATTACTGGACTGATTGGCTGTAGAGCCATTTGAAAGAGATGGTTTTAGCTCTGCTTCTGTTTAAGAAGTTAAGAAATTCTCATTTAGATTCTGACCCGCAGTTCTTGTTTGTTTGATGTGCAGCCTTGGGACTTGCCTTCCATTCCAAGATCATCTTTTTTCAGTTCAGATCATAGTGCTGTTTCTGGTTTCCTATCTATGGACTGGTTTTATGCGCATTTGAGATTTCTTCTTGGTAGAGAGAAGGGTGAGATAGCAGGGGGGAGGTTAAGCACTTCGAAAATCTTTTTTCTCTCTCCTCTGTGACATTGGGACATACAGAACTACTGGTGTAGTCTGTCAGCAAAGCGCTGCTAGCATGGGTGAAACTACTGGCAAAGCTGTGTTTTAGTCAAGCCATCCCCTGTAGGGTCAAAATGCTGCCTAGGTCAAAGTGCAACAACATCTTGTTGGTGTAATTGTGACCACACCAGGAGCTTCCTAAAGCCCCATTAAGTCCAGCAGGGATTGCGCCTAACTACCCCAGGCATCCAACAAGAGTCTGATTTAGATGCTGTCTCATTAAGAACCTCTCAAGGTACATTTAAATTCCTTACTGCTTCTTTCGTAGGGCTCCTCGATTTAAGGGGTTCCAGCAGCAGGACAGCCAGGAGCTCCTGCACTATCTGTTGGATGCGATGAGGATTGAAGAAACAAAGGTAACACCTTTGCCTGTGTTTTTGAAGAACTTACTTGACTGTATGGTAAACTGCTAGTCATTGTTTCAACGTTCTTTCCGTTCCCAGTGTTTTAAAGATGCACTTAATGGAGTAGGAGTGGCTATTTTTGTTACCTTGAGAAAAATGATGACTTATTTGAAGGAGTATTTAATTATGCTCATGTTGATACTTTAGGAATCTGAATTGTTTGCCTTCATTAAAACAAACAAAAGGACAGAAAAAGGAATTCTGAGGAGACAAGAAAGTAGAAGTAGAACCTCTGATTTAGCTGGCAAAGTGCATCTTGTATCTTTCAAGAGTGTGAAGAACTACTTGTTTTATAAATAAGGTGCTGCTTTTCATTATTTAAAAATCTATGTCTAAGTATGCAAAATATCTAACCAGTTATATTAGGGATGTCCCTGGGTGTTTTTTCTCATGTTTCTTTTCCTTTGTTATTTCTGCCTCCTGCGTTGTTAAACACAAGAAGGTGTGTTTGCTCACTCGAACTATTTTGACCATATCTGATTTCATCTGCCTGACTTAGTCTTGGAACCTTCTTTTCAGATGATACTTTGGTAAATAGCCTTTTCTAAGTCTCGTCAAAAGGAGGCAGAGGCCCTTAAGTCTCGTACTTCCTCTTCCCCCTCATTTAGTAATGAATGTCACAATCCTGAGCTGAATTATCTTGGAGATGAGATATAAAGCTGTATCTGCACCCAGTTCCCGGCACTGGAGTAGTGCTGAATGAATCCCCATCCTACCAGAGTATTAATATATATTGGTCTGGTCAGCAGTACACTTGATCATAACCAGAACTGAACTACAGGGAGAAAACAGCTAAACCTTGACATTGTCACGCTTACAAAACTAGGTGTTGAATTAGGGGCACGCCAACAGAAGCCTCTGACTGCAGTTAAAAGCCAGTTGTCATGTTTCTGCAGTAGAGGGAAACTTTATTGTGTTGCTTGTTGATTTGCATGTAATAAAAGGTGGAAACTGTATTTGCTTCACAAACGAGGATTCACCGAAAGCAGAATTACTACAGCTAAGCTTCTCCAGTGAGTGACTGCGCTGTCCCCTCAAGCCAGTCTCCTGTTTCACCAGCGAATGTGCTATCGTTACGATAACCCGCGTTTGTATTTGTCTTTTAAATCATTTTGTTAGCGGTGACAGCTACAGTAGCTACCACAAAAGAGTAATGGAAGATGGTGAGAATTTTCAGTGACCTTTCGGGCAGCAGGGTATTTTTGCTGCCCCGTCACCCGGCAGGGAGAGGATGGTCCTGCCCTGCCCTGCTGCCCTAATGGTGCATTACTGCAAACGCCACTTTTATCGCCTTGGGCTGCTCCGCCAGTAAAAGCTCTCGGTGACAGCTACAGTAGCTACCACAAAAGAGTAATGGAAGATGGTGAGAATTTTCAGTGACCTTTCGGGCAGCAGGGTATTTTTGCTGCCCCGTCACCCGGCAGGGAGAGGATGGTCCTGCCCTGCCCTGCTGCCCTAATGGTGCATTACTGCAAACGCCACTTTTATCGCCTTGGGCTGCTCCGCCAGTAAAAGCTCTCAGTCTTTTTTTTTTTTCTTTTTTTTTTTTTTTTTTTAATTTTCCCCACTTTCAGGTTCGGGGGTGGG